AAACAAAACAAATAAAAAAATGCATACTCATACATATATATATATATATATATATATATAATGAGAGATAGATAAAAAATATTACCAGCTATAAATGTCTTGTTGGCATTAAATAACCTATTGAGGTTGATATGCCGTAAAACAAAACAAAACAAAACACTATATATTGAGATAGATAGATAGATAGATAGATAGATCTTACTTATTATAAAACGGAGATTGTGTGTGTATGTGTGTGTCGGTAACGTTTATATATTGGATCGGATTTCCTACATTTTTCAACCGATTTCAACAAAACTTCACAGGACTACATAAAATTACCTTGTGGTGGTTCTAACAGCGCCAAAAATGGGAAAAATATAATTGTTTTTGCACAAGATCAATGTGAAAACACGATTAAGACACACCGTGAAAATGGAAGGGGGGACAACTCACATCGGGCTGTTTGTGTGTGTGTGTGTGTTCCTTTAAATATGGGAGCGGATTTCCTATATTTTTCAGCCGATAAAACAAAACTTCACTTTTTTTTTTTGGCAGGTAGTGTTTCTTATTCTCTTGCACACTTTTTTCTTTATTTTTAACATTCAGAATGCTTTAAAAATTCCATTTACAAGACAATTATTTATAATAAAATTCAATCGGGAGACTTATAACGATTGAAAACAATATTTTTGTTTGAGTTTGGGTTTGACCAATTCGTAAAAAATAAAAAAAATAAAACCTAATTAAGACATGCGTGTCCGTCAACCTTAAACAATAATCTAACGATCTATACTGATTGTACGAATACAAACATCGGAATAAATTCTTTATCTTTAGGGAAAGATAATGAAATCTAAACATACACAAGTCCTAACTAAAAATAATAACCGGAACGGGAAACTACTTTAAATACACATAGTGTCCAATTTTTTTACTGTATTCAATAAGTAAAAATCATAAATTGTAAAAGATTATTAATACAGAAAGGCTACTAAATGAATAAGATTTGTTAGATCATAATTAATAAACCCAAATAAAGTTAATATTTTTTGTATTAGAAACAACGAGTGGAAAATATATTCAAATCAGAATCCTAATTATGAATCACCACAAGAAAAATATGCAATTTTTTTACTGTATTAAATAATTAAAAATCATAAATTGTAAAACTAAAAGATTACAGAAAGGCTACCTACATTTTTCAACCGATTTCAACAAAACTTCACTTTTTTTAGCATGTAGTGTTTCTTATTGTCTTGCACACTTTTTTCTTTATTTTTACATTCACAATGCTTTAAAAAATCCATTTACAAGACAGTTGTTTATAATAAAATTCTATTCAATCGGTAGACTCATAACGATTGAAAACAATGTTTTTGTTTGAGTTTTGTTTTGACCAATTCGTAAAAAAAAAAAAAAAAAAAAAACTAATTAAGACATGCGTCTTTATGATGGTGGATACTTGATCTATCTCTTACTGTTATATCCCCGGGCAACGCCGGGCTCTACTGCTAGTAGATAGATAAGAAAAAAATATTACCAGCAATAAAAATCTTGTCGGCATTAAATAACCCATTGAGGTTGACATTCCGTCAAACAAACCAAACCAAACCAATATATATTGAGATAGATAGATAGATAGATAGATAGATAGATAGATAGATAGATAGATAGATAGATAAAAAATATTACCAATAATAAAATACTTGTCAGCATTAAATAACACATTAAGGGTGACATGCCGTAAAACAAAACAAAACAAGCCATACTAAATATACAATTACTTGTTCGTCTTCAGTAAGACAAGGGAGATAACATTCGTTGAAAGTATGGCTCATGTTTTGACGATATTTATTTTTAGATGAAGCGTTGTCAGCTATTATTAATAGCTTAATTTTCTTTCATCTTTTCGCTACTGTTTTTTCAAAATAATTCTCTGATAAATCTTATGAAATAATAAACTTTAACACAAATTCTATCCCCTTTGCTTTGAGGAACTTTATTTACCATTCCATCTGATCTTACAGTCTATGCTATAAGGAACTCCCACCATTATCAGTATTCCAACTAGAAGATTTTAAGTCTGGCATTTTTTTCTTTTTTTGGCGAAATTTCTGGGTACCTATTTTTTATTCCTTGTGAAGTAAGAACTTTCTCAGGAGCGATATTGCCTTTGTATAATTTTAGATGGTCAATACTTGTTAATTTTTAGATGGACAATACTCGTTAATATTTAGAGGGTCAATAATTGTTAATTTTTAATTTTAGCCAGACATTGATTTTTAAAATTGTAATTATCGTTGTTCTTTTTATTGCTAAATTTTGTTGTCCGTCGATCTATGGCAAGCTCGAATCGCGGAATCATGTATTCACGCCTCTTTGGACTGTAAAAGAAATGTATTCACGCCTCATTGCACTGTAAAAGAAAGGGTTAAAATCACCAGATGTTCTAATCGTAAAAAAAAAAAAAAAAAAAGACGATGTGCTTCTTCGGAAGGAAACATAAGACAAATATGTAATTAATTTTAGAAAACAAGAAAGTTATACATACATACATATATACATACATATGGTGGTCTATCCTATCATTAGCGATAAATGAGGGTCAGCATTGGATGGTGCCTTTTGCTTTATACTTATGGATGCTAGCAGGGGCTATTGTGGAGAAAATCAGGTAAAGGAAAGGCATATTTCTTTGGTGCTTTCATAAGTGTGATACTAGCCCAGCCTACAACCAACCCCCATCCCCCACTCACATATATATATATATGTGTGTGTGTGTATGTGTGCGAGCGTATTTACATGTATGTATATATATATATATATATATATATATATATATATGTACATATACATATGAATATAATTCAACGGAAAGAGTGATTAAATGATGTTATTTGTGATTAGATAGAAAAATAGAGTTAAAAAGGAAGAGATAGATCGATAGATAGATAAATAGATAGATAGCTAGAGAGAGAAAGAGAGAAAGAGAGAGAGAGAGAGAGAGAGAGTGAGAACTAGATATGAATAGAATTATGGATAGATAGATGGACATAGATAGATATGAATAGAATGAGATAGATAGATAGATAGATAGATAGATAGATAGATAGATAGATAGATAGATATGACTATGATGTAGTGTAGTCTTCTCTTTTAGCCAGAATGTGTTTTATCACTTGGTACTGTTTCTGTGGGATTTCTGACACATAAACATTTGCGAACACCTGTGTCCTTAAAATATTTAAAAATAAGATAATAGATATCACTTCTAAAAATTAGAGCATCTTGCATCTGTTAGCAATATATTTTTGTTCAAGAGATGCGATTATTATCGAACATTATGAATTTATTAGTGGAAGAAATATTTTGTTTGTCAAAATATTATTTCATGGACCAAACAAAATGCTATAAGTTCCCAACGCAAGGAACAGTTATTCCGACTAAGAATAAATAAGTGTAAAATTTTATTTTATTTTTTAAAATAGTTTCAACGGAATGCGAGGCAAGGCAAGGCAACAAAGCCACTAACAAGCAGGAGGGTACTGTGTGTCAAAGGCTATGAGAAAAAACATCATTCATGAGTGAAAATAATAAAAGAACATTAAGAAACCAGACGATAACAACTGACATTGCATTTAAATTTTTGAAGAGCAAATTTGCCAGGAAAACAAGAAGCCGGAAACGTAGTAAGAAGTGCGAGAAAAAAAGAATCTCTCAAAGTAGAACTTAAGGTTACAGCTAGTCGTTTCAACTGTAAAATGATGAGACATTTTTGCCAATCTAATACTGCGTCTAAATTCGTAGAATCTAGCTACGATAGTAAAATACTCATGAGAATCATTACAATGAAACTATTTATAGAAAAGGCACAGAGAAATGTTATATAGTTTAATGTACCTAGTTTTAAGTATAGCTAAAATAACTAATGTGATTTTAGGCATTACTGTAAATCAGTTGGCAAATGTTTTCCGTGAACTGCAAAATTGTATTACCCTTTGTATTGCTAATGATGGAGGACATGTGGAAACTTAAATAAAATTTCAATAAAACCTTAAAAAATATAGATTTACTTCTTTCTAATCCTTTTTACAAATTATTTCTATCGCAAATACCAATTATGTTATAATTTTTTAAGGTTCACACGAACTTATGGACACCCTGTATTTTGTTATTAGTCATATTTGGAGAAAATGATTGAGATTAGTTTAATATTTAATAGATTTGCGACTATTAATGAAATTTAGACATCCGAGAAAAATATTTTACACAAATAAGAAATTCACGAGAAATCTCGCGAGACGATTCGGGCGGAAATCTTATGCTATACAGGATGTTGCAGCAAAATCCGACACTTGACAAACAGAAAACCAAATAGGCAATAAAAACAAAAGTTGTATATGCAGAGACCCGACAGTTTATTTAGCAACAGTTAGAGTTCCATACTACATTATGTTTCAATATAACCACCGCTGGCGACGACGACCATCGAAATGAATCACGCGCTTTGGCGACCATGTCCTTGTCCATAGCGGCGAACGCTTCCAAGATGGCAGCCTTCAGAGAGATGACTGTGTTGTGGGCTTGCTTGTTGGTCTTGGTCTCGAACACGACCCAGAAGAAATAGTCAAGGGGGTTGCACTCAGGTGAGGAGGGCGGCCATAAGTCCGGCGACCAATGGTGAGGAACATTGTTGAGCGGCCACGCCTGGATCGCCTTGGCCTTGTGTGCAGCGAAGGGGGATGTCATAACTCCGTTCTTCTGCCAAAAGGGCCTGAGAGTCACCGCAGAGATCTACCAGGATGTGCTGAGGAGCGTGGTGAAGCCCTGGATGGACAAGATCGTCGCCGGACATCCCTACGTCTTCCAGCAGGACTCCGCTCCTTTTAACAGTTTTTTCAACATCTTGTTTTTAAGCTTGCATCGACTCAAGCCACCGTCATAACAAGAAAAATCTGGTGGGCTAACTGATTTAGTCGTCGATGGTCCAACACCGCGGCAAGTAGCAACGGCTTAAATCAAAAGATAGATAGATAGATAGATAGATAGATAGATAGATAGATAGATAGATAGATAGATAGATAGATAATGCCCAGATTGACAAAGATATATACATAGATAGATATGAATAAGCCGAGATAGATAGATAATGTGCAGAATGAAATAGATAGATAGATAGATAGATAAATAGATAATCCACAGACTGACGTAGATATATACATAGATAAATATGAATAAGCCTCGACAGATAGATAATGTGCAGAATGAAATAGATAGATAGATAGATAGATAGATAGATAGATAGATAATTCACATTGAAATAGATATATACATAGATAAATATGAACAGTTGGAGAATGAAATAGATAATTTACAGAATATAAAAGATAGATAGATAGATAGATAATGCCCAGATTGACATAGATACATACATAGATAGATATGAATAAGCCGAGATAGATAGACAGATAGATAATGTGCAGAATGAAATAGATAGATAGATGATAGATAGATAGATAGATAGATAGATAGATAGATAATTCACAGACTGAAATAGATGTATACATAGAAATGTACAAGGCGAGATTGATAGAAAGATAGATAGATCATGCTATTATAAATAAATATTTTATTTCTGTCTAATCCCTCTCTTCTGATAATCTGTGTTGGTTATTTATTCAGTACATCTGCATTGCAATGGACATCTCCATATCGTCCTGTTTTCATTTCAGCCGTATTAACCTCTTCCGACTGTAACGTCTCACCACGAGTGTCCGTCAGTACAGAACATAAGGGCGTATGCGTCAGGTGTACATATCGCAAGCCATACCATCATCCTCCCATAGCGAAGCCATTTCACGAAATTTTCCATTACGCAGAATATTATTCTGCCGTTGGAGGAGAATAGATATTTAGGAATGGAGTTGGGTGATTGTGTGTTTTGACTCCTGAAGATACCTCCTCACTTTTACTCTTCTCATCACCCTCTCTCGCCAAAGACATTTGTAGAAATCACTGGACAGTAATATCAGTATAACATACAAAAGGCGGGGACAAAAACAACTAATGTAACAACATTTGTCTATATTTCTGAGATGAGATATTTTAACTATTTACACTGTTCAGATTATTGTCTCCTTATTTGTCATCATATTCACGACGTTTCGGCTGTTGTACTCTCCAGCCTTCTTCAGTTGATATACAATGGGATTTCGAACCGAACCCTTTATTTAGACCACGGGGGTAGATTGCTCCAGTTATACGTGCCATGTCTTTTCTGGTGTCTCAGATTCAGTTAATTCCCTTTAAAAAGAAGGCCGGGCGTACAACGGCCGAAACGTCGTGAATATGGCAATAAGGATGAGGACAACAGTCCGAACATTGTATATAATGTAAATAATTACAATACCTCATATCAGAAATATAAACAGATCCTGAAGAAGGTCGTAGGATACAACGGCCGAAACGACGTGAATATGGCAATGAAAATGAGGACAACAGTCCGAACAATGTATATCTTGTATATAATTACAATACCTCATCTCAGAAATACAAACAGATCCTGACGAAGGTTGTAGGGGACAACGGCCGAAACGACGTGAATATAGCAATAATCATGAGGACAACAGTCCGAACAATGTATATAATATAAATAATTACAATACCTCATATCAGAAACACAAACAGATCCTGAAGAAGTTCGGAGGGTACAACGGCCGAAACGACGTGAATATGGCAATAATCATGAGGACAACAGTCCGAAAAATATGAATAATGTAAATATAGCAATAAAAACAACAACAACAAAAACGGCATTAATAATAAATCTACCATTCGTCCATTCATTGAATACTGTTGCCATATATTGTATGGTGCCCTTGCTATTCATCTGAAGATCCTTGACAAAATTCAAAGAAGGATCTGCAATGTAGTCGGACCCGATTTGGAATCTCGACTCCAGTCACTTTCTCACAGACGTGATGTTGCTTCCTGCTACAAATATTTCCATGGCATCTGCTTTGACAAGTTATTTTCACTGGTGTCCCAACTGCATGAATTTAAATGCGCAACTTGGTTGGCATCTCGGTCGCACTCTTTCACCGTCGAAACGGTTAAATGTAACCCCCACTTCTACTCTAGCATCTTCTTCTTTCGCACTTCCTGACAGTGTAGCTCCCCTCCTCTTACTTGCTTCCCTGATAACTACAGTCTTTAAATATTTAAATGCAACCTCAATCGTCATCTTCCGATAACTTGATCCCCGTTCTTCTTTTCATCCTCAGATAGCAAAGGCGAAAAGCGATGAGGCGTAGCCCCTATCTGGAGTAGAGTCACTAAGTTTCGCTACCGTAGAGCAACACGCTGATGACGCATGCCTTATAGAATGCATTCAAGAAGGAGGTATACGTTGAGTAACTGGGCATGGGTTCGAGCTACGGTATTGGTGGCCCGATAATAACAATTGATGACCAGCTTACTTTCAGAGAGCAAAGGCGAAAATCGCTGAGGCGTCGCTCCCCTCTCTGCAGTAGAGGCACTGAGTTTCGCTTCCGTAGAGCAACACGCCGATGACGCATGCCTTATAGAATGCAATTTTGGTGTTCGCGGTAAAATTTCTGTTCTCGCAGATTCTCGAACTTATCCTGGCGAACAACTTGTCTGATCCGTCTGTTGACCTTAGTGTCTAGGTAGAGGGTGTCCGAAACGGTGGAGTTGACGTATGTGAATTCATAAATCTCCTCCACGTCGGAGTTGTCGATTTCGAACGTTTTGTTCGATACAGCAAGATGATGCAAAAATTAAACTTCAGAAGCGAATCATGTTATTAAATCGCCCCGTCAAATCTAGACTCTCATAAAAATGTCATTCATTGTAGCAGCAATGAATGACATTCTTATGACAGTCTCGTTCTTTACGAAATATTCATACTTTCCAAAATTTGAATAAAGGAAAAAAGAACACTTATCTTAGCTGACGCGTTCCGTTCTCTAAGAGACATTGTCAAGGTAAATGCCAGGATTTTATTTTGCAACAACTATTTATATACAAGAGTAACAATGTTATGAGTTTTTCAAAATTTTTTGGGTAAAGGAACGCTTATGAATATTCATCAGGTTAAATGAAATATCAGGTGAGTTATAAAGAACGTGAATTTATACATTTCAATGTCTAATAAAAAAAGAAACTGAATAATATATATATATATATATATATATATATGTGTGTTTATATATATTATATATTTTTTTATATATAAATATTTTATATAAATGTATTCATTCTTTTTATAATAAACAGTCTTAAACAACATTTACCGGCATGAATGTCCGAGAAATTTTCATAGAAAATATGCGTCTTTCGACAGAAATCGAACCTGTATCCTATACAGAACCGTAATATAGCCTGACGTGTTTTTACCGATTTAGCCACAGAGGAGCGTTTCGGTTAGCAAGGTCGATTTTACTGTTTTTAAACTTCAATTTTCCATGATTTTCTCACGTACATTCATATCTGCTCGATGCGTATCCAAATGTAAACAAATGACGTCACACATTACGAAATAGACAAAGTCCGACAATTACTTTAAAACATTTTTATAAACAGAGCATTTACTTAAATATTTGTATCAATAAAAAAGAATATATAAATATAAAAATGTCTTAAAATAATTATCGGACTTTGTGTGACGTCATTTGGATATGCATCGAGCAGATATGAATGTAGGTGAGAAAATCGTGGAAAATTGTAGTTTAAAAACAATAAAATCGATCTTTCTAACCGAAACGCTCCTCTGTGGCCTAATCGGTTAAAGCATGTCAGTCTATATGACGGTTCCGTATAGGATACAGGTTCGATTCCTGCCGGAGGACGAATATTTTCTATGACAATTTCTCGGACATTCAGGCCGGTAAATGTTGTTAATACTGTTTATTATAAACAGGGCATTTATGTAAATATTTGTATCTATAAAAAAAGTATGTATAAAAATATCTTAAAATAATCGTAGGACTTTGTCCATTTCATAATACATATGTATGCAAACCCGTACTTAATTAATTTTAGTTTGGAATTAATTCATACGTTATATATTTTTAATAACATGAGGTTATGGATTTAGCCGTTTTCTTTTAAGTTTTAGTATTTTTGTAATCATGTATCTTAGTTTTTTGATAGCCATAATTCTTTCAGAAATGGAGAAAATTCTGAATCACAGATTTATATTTTAATAAGATTCAGTAGCGGCACTCTCGTGAATTTTCTTTTTAAGTAAGTTACTTTCTCTTTTAATAAATCTGGCTTTCTTTATATCAAATTTGTGATTGAATTGATTTCTATGTTATATTAATGTATTCGGTATATTGTTGTGTATGAGGTCTCTTTTGTGTTCATAGATACATTATCACTTATATCCAATCGTTTTCCCTGATCAATTATTAAACATAGCGGTCAGGCTTTACAATGACTTTACTTCATCAAGTCTCATAGTCTAGCTGTACAGAATCACAACTTAACAAATCCTCACAGTAACGTTCTCAGCTGACATGAATTGGAAAGACTATATTAAATCCATTGCTACGTCAGCTAAGAATGTGGTTTACTGTCGTCCGAGTTTTTTTTTTTCTCTCCAGAATCTATCTTACATATCTATAAGTCTATCAATTGGTCCATGCTTAGAACATTGCTGCCACATATGGTCCGGTGTCCTTGCTATTTACCTTGAGCTCCTTGATAAAATCTCCCAAAAGAATCAGGGATATTATTGGTCCTGATCTGGCAGCTCGGCTTCCGTTACTTTCCCGCCACCGTAAGTTTGACTCTCTGTCTTTTCTATAAATACTTTCATGGTAATTGTTCGGATGAGCTCTTCGCTATGGCACCTAATTTAAAAAAAAAATTTAAACGCAGTACTAGACTGGCGTCAAGCTCTTATCAACTTACTGATGAGCTGGCTAGATGTAGCCGTCAGTTTTATGCTAACAGTTCCTTTCTCGCACTTCTCGTTTGTAGAACTCCCTTCTGGTTCCATGCTTTAGAGACAACTTCAATCTACAAAATGTTTAATTACAGTGTTAATCGCTATCTACTGTCCACCCGATTATTATTTTCTCTTCCCGCTCATTATTAATGTTTCTGTTACTAAATATTTCACACCCTGTAACCCCTTGTGTCTTAGTGGCTTTACTACCTTGCATGGGGTGATACTGATTAAAGAAAAAGTAAATAAAACATCTCACAAAACGTTAAAAAAAAACTATCCTCACTACTAGAAAGAGCGACGACACTTAGCAGACGTGAGAAACAAACTTTCCTGTTAAAAATAAAATTGTTTTGAGAGAACGATTCCATAAATTTCTACTAAAAGTAAGCCTAATCTCAATATAATCATTAATTTTCGTCGTCATAGACGTCGTAGAGAGCCTGACATATGGAGTTTAGGAAAATGGCCGACCTAAATATCGTCCTGGGTAAGACGTTATACTACAACCGCATCCTGGGTAAGACGTTAAATTACTTTCAGCAGCAAAGCCTCTGATCAGGAGGTTTTGAGGAGCGTGGAACCACATCT